AAGCACCTCGAAAGCAAGCTACAATGGCGGTATCCGTCGGGCACACCCCAAGGAAGAACCCGAAAGATCCACATTTTTCCCAAGGATCCAATAATGAGAACGAGTTACAATACATGTCCATTTCATACATCAGAGTTTCTTAAAAATTACATTATTACATTACCAAATGTTAGAGTGCGGAAATAATAAACAACAGAATTTAAAATAAACATCTAGCGATAAGAAACGAGGATCCATCTGAGCCCACTAGAAGAATCCTCCACACAAGGGTACTTCTCATGCATTACCTGCATCAGGGGTAAATAAACCCTGAGTACACAATGTACTCACAAGACTTATCCGACTAGTGGGAATAATTTCCCGACTCATAGGAATATGATAAGCTTTATGGTTTGCTGGTTTCTTTTAGCAGAAAGCAGTACTAATAGTGAGTACTTATTTATGTTATTATTATCAGCCATATTAAGTTGTCATCTAGCCAGTCTATATAAGCACATGTTCTACTTTCAAGCAAGAGTTGAGCAATCAGTTCCATTTCTTCTCTTTTCAACTTTTAGTTCTTACTATGGTGCTAAACACGAAGCAAGTCGTCACTGACTCGATGGCGATTCATGAACCAATGTGCCTAGTTGGGTGCCCAGAAAACACACGCCCCGCTTGTACCTCGAGGCACAAGCAGGACCAACCCATCACCCTCCTCATCACAGGTGTCCGTGTCCCCATCCAAACTTGGACTCTAAGCCCCCTCCCCGAGTCTCGGACTCGGTGCGGTGCAAGGACCTCCACCATCTCCACCTCTAATCAGCCGGTCCGGAAAGAGCCGGATCCACAACAAGAGAGCAACAAGTCTTCCCTACGCCCATACCCAAGTATGTGCTCAGGACAATAGATCTGTGACTTGCCTAAGATGCCTTATGCAACGACCGGTCCTTAATCGACTCAGACAGGGAAAAAGCGTAACCAAGCTATGCCCTGTTGGCCGCAGGACACAACCCTTTACACCCACCAATACCCAAACCATATCCCTGCCCGGTCATCATTTACCTTTACTATTTTATCATGAGTGATAATGTTTATCACCTACTTATGAGTAACGACAGGTTACTCACGCTACCGATATCCTGAGCATAGCAGCTACTCGACCTGTACTAGTAGAACTCATAGGTAGATATATTTATGCATGTAGTTTCCATAAAATGCTTGTAACGTAAATGCACATCATATATAAATCCAGTGATCATTAAAAATAAGGGTTATGCACCGGGGCTTGCCTTAGGCAAATGACGGGTCGAAAGAAAGTCGACTCAAAAGGCTCCAGGGCTCCTCACCACTGCAGTACCTCCTCCTCGTACTCCTCGATGACCTCCTCGTACTCCGGTTCGTCGACAGGCACGAACTCTACCAACTCGTGATCTACATGCATGAAATGATGATGCGACACTTAGTATTTCGACAACTCCAACTCTTAAAATAAGAATACATCTATCAAACTACTAAGTGAGTTCTACCAACTAAAGGGCTAACCTACCTACTGTTACCATTAACAAGTATGAAGCATGACATACATTATTATAGCAACTACATGTATTCTTACTCCTAATGCTGATTTACGCTATATATGATAAAGAAAGGATAATAGCTACTCTATTAATCAACTTACTCTAGGGCTACAAAATTTACAGCAAGTACATAATAATCTAGTGAGCCTACTGTAAAATTTTCATAGCTATAGCTATCACCAATTTACCACAAAAATTCCTATAAATATTACTCCACATAATCCTAAGCTTTTTAGTTTGAGTTTATGAACCTACCATTATCACAGCTAACTGTAATCTAACTACACTAACAGATAGATGGCATTTTTGTGAACCTAACAAACTTGGTTTCATAATTTTTGGACAACTACATAATTTTATATTGATTTATAAATTTACCTTGCAAGCTAAATTAGAAAGTGCTCTATAATTCAAAAAGCCGGCGGCAAGAGCTTGGCCCAACAGCCCAGCATGGACTGGACCAGCAGCCCAGGCAGACGAGCGCGCGGTGGCCCAGGCGCACGCAGGCGGCGTGGATGATCCAGCACGCGGGCGTGAACGGCGACCCAGGCGGCAGCGGACCAAGGCTGGCGCGAGCAGGCCGGCCCACGGCGGGGGCGCGCGCGAGTGGCCCAGCAGGCGGCGGGCGCGGACGCGAGCGTGGCCCCACACGACGAGCTGGCCCAGGCGGCTGAGCGCACGCTGCCCAACATAGCACTTAAGGTGGCGTGTTTCTAATGTATTCATGGATTTATTTTCCTCCAAGAAAGCGGCACTAAATTGGGTGTGACGCAGGGATGATGTCAAGATGATGGCCCTGTTCGCTTGGAGGAATCAGGATGAATTTAGATGAATTCGTGAGAGCGTGAACAGTGAAAACCAGCCATGAACAGTGAAAACCGGTTGGTTTTCACACCAGCCGAACACCCCGATGTCAACAAGCTAAGAGCAAAGGCACGCACCGCCGGCTGCTCTGCTTGCCTGTGCGAGCGTGGTGCGGTGGTGGTCGCCGGCGAACAGAGCACGACGGTGTGCTGTTCGTGGCGCTGCTGTTGGCTCAGCGCAGAAGGGCGCGAGGGTGCGGCTAAGCCGACTGACCTCGCCAAGCTCGCGCTGGAGGTCGCCCGGAGCCACGAGGGAAACGTCCCGCACAACCTCACCGCAGGACGACGCCCCGCACAACCTCACCGCAGGACGAACGCTCGTCGAGATCAATCCGGTCAGAAGCTAACTACCCGAGCTCTATGTGTGCATGGTTAATTGGAAAGATGTGGAGTACGTAAGGCCAATTGCTTGGGCGACGCCGTTCGGAACTTAAAGCGGCCGATGATGACGAAAACTTGAATCGACGCCCCGACATCGTACTACCGCAACAGTGCGGGTTAGGCACGAAGCTGTACTCCCAACCGTTCTCCACACGTGCGCGGTAATAAGGATGGGCCAGCTCAGTGGTTTGGCCTTGGCGCGGCGCGGCCGGCCGGCGACCTTCCAGACAACATGACGAAAAACTTTGCGTGGCCTCGCGTGCAAACTGAAAGCGAGGGCAAATCCACACGCGTGCGGGTGAAACATCAACGGAACAAGAGCCGCAGCGGTCGCCTCAACGCATGGCGACGGCTGGTACCGACGCGACGGCGAACGCGTGATTTCAGCAGTGGCGTACATGCAAGTCCTTGGCATGATAATCCAAGGCCGTGGTAAATCTGGCGCCTTCGGCTCGACAAGGCGCCGATCAGCGATGATCCGGCGATGGCCGGAACGGCGGGCATAATACCATGGCATGGAGTGGCACGGCACGAAACACCCCTTCGCCTTAGCAAGCCAGGCCTTGTCGGCCCAGGAACACTACCAGTGTAATAGAAGCTGACTAAGTTTGAACAAGTGTATACATGTCCGGTATATACGGAAAGAAAGCAAGTGAAGGGCTACAGTACCATGCAAGCCGCAAGACAGACATATACACAAGTCACAAGCTAGTTCAAAAATATTGCTCGACTAATTGATGGCCCAATATGACTCTCAGCCCATTCACGCCACGGGCTCAAGAAGGCCCGAAACCAGAGTACAACACCAGCAAATAATTCTAAGTCCCATCAAAGCGCTCGAGTACACGCTGAGTCGCATGGCAAAGCGTGGTAACAATGCCCAGTGGTGCGGTGCAGGCGTGATGCGTCTTGGGCATACGTTCTATAGCCTTTTCGTTTAATAAAAATTCGTTTAGAACATCAAGTGATACAATGTGACATACAATGCAACATTCATTTCGTGTTTCAAATAAACGTTTCAAGTTCCATATATTGATTTATACCATATATTACATACATATACACACAAGTAAAATATTCATGCAGTGTTTTATCAAAAAGATGTACAATGTAACACCGAGGGTGTTACACCACCTCCCCTAGCGCCCGAGCGCCCGCGCGTGGCCAGTCGCCCCTGCGAGGCAGAGCAGAACGACGTCGATGTGGGTCGAGCTCGTCCCCTCAATTCGGAGGGACCATTCCAACCCGCATATGAGGGTATATTCCCTCCTGGGTTCGACGCAAACCCACATGGCTCCTCAACCAAACGCATCTCCATCTGGGTTAAACCTGGGATATTCCCTCAAACCAAACACACGGTTACAAGCATAATAAGCACATCACAATTAAAAATTCTAAAAAAAATAAAAAAACATCGCGTGTAATATGCGGCTGCGGTTATAGTCGGAGGTGTTGTCTTTCATGAGATGGCAGGACACGCGATACACGAATAGTCGATGGGGTTTCAGGCTTATCATTCTACCACCCTTGCCATGAGATGGCAGGACACGCGATGCACACATAGCCTACGGGTTTCAGACTTATCACTGGAATCACACAGCCCACGGTATAATCTATCTGTCAGTATTCAATTCTATATGCTACACGACTTGTGCAATTATCAATTCAAAAAAAAAACCATCTTTTTCTCCCAAAGAAGTACTCCGTGTAGAACGATCCGGGTGTTCGGCTGGCACCCGCGGTTTCCGAGGCTATTTTCGTCACTCCCCGAAACAGAGTTAAAAACAGGGCATGGGACCAGGCGGCGGAAAGCGGCCACCGGCGAGGCGAGCCCCGAGACCGAGAGCATCGCAATTCGCAGCAGCGCAGGCGGAGGCCAGGCCCACACCCCCCGGGGGGGCACGCAACAACGAACCAACCCACAGCCACGGCACCACCCCGCCCGAAGCTGATTGATGCTGAGCGCAGCCAAATCCAGCCAGCCATAGGAATATCGGCAAGAATTCTACCGCCTGCCCGTTTTCCTCTCCCTCTCCTCCCTCGTTCCGGATCCAACGCCGCAGCCTTAGCGGGGCCCGTCGCTGTCGCTCCGCCTCCCGCTCGCTTGCCGGGCCCGACACGCCCGCCGCCGCCTCCGCCGCCTACGGCGCCTGTGCAGGGCCGCCGTGGGGAGTGCTCTGCTGTGGGCTGCCCGGCGATGGACCGGGGTGAGCGCCTCGGCCGCGCGCTGGACGCCTTCGGAGGCGACCTGTGGGCGCTGGTCGACGCCGCGCTGGACGTGGCCGCGCGGGACTGCCCCGACGAGCTGCGCGCACGCCGCGACGGCATCGTCGAGCGCCTCTACGCCGCCGCCGCCGCCGGCTGTAGCAACTGCGCCGGGCGTCCGCCGCCTCTTGCTGCTTTAGCAGCAGCGGGGGGCTGGATGAAGAGGGCGGCGAGGAGGCGGCTCCGGCTTCTCCAGTGGTGGAGGCTGACGCCCAAGCCGGTGGCGCAGAGGAGCTCGGCGCCGGCGCCGGCGCGCCCGGGCTCGAGAGCAAGATCGTGGCCATCAGGGACTTCTTGGATGACCCCAATCAGGTCCCCAAAGAAGCCATTTTTACCACCACGCAACGCGTATTTGCTCCAAATGCGCGGCCTTTTTCACGCAAACTGTGCACGCTTGTGGTGTTTTGTCACAGCCCGAGGACGAGCTGGTGCGCTTGCTGCAGAACCTGGCAGACATGGACGTCACCTACAACGCCCTCCAGGTCAAGTTCTTTTCGCCATTCTGTTCTTTCATCACTTTTGTTATTTGGCTTACACAATGGGTGGTCCAATCGGTTTGCTTGCTTGTTTGAGATTGAGCAGCAGCAACTGCCATGGGAAGTGTAAAGTTTTGAACCTTCTATTCGTGTTCGTGCAGGCGACTGACATCGGGCGGCAAGTGAATGGTCTGCGCAAGCACCCTTCCGCTGAGGTCAAGCGACTGGTGAAGCAGCTCATCAGGTGATGAACATGGACACAAACACTGCTAAACTAGACAGATGATTTTCTGTTTTGAATATGCTGCCTAATTATCCTCTTTTGTGGAACCTGGTGTTGCTTGCAACTTGAAGGAAGTGGAAGGAGATAGTGGACGACTGGGTGCGCCTGCACAATTCCGGCGGTGACGGCAGCGCCACGGTTATGAGTATGTCACTGTGTAGATTTTTACAGTCTCTTTGGCTCAAGATTGTTTGGAGATATTTTTTTTATCCTGTTCTTGATAATCCTGATGGGTTGAAATCGGTTGCTTTGATGACAGCAGCTGATGGTGACTCTCCAGATAAAATCCAAGGCAGGAGCCACCAAAGCCCTCGGGTAACTTGTCTTGCTTAGAGATTACTCTGAATAAGTACACCTCAAGCTTTTTTAGTGATTCCCCTGTCTGTAGAAAGCTTCTTTCTGTATGAAGCATCGTGCCTGGAATATTCCCTGCTCTATTATTCCCCTGTTAGTTTGCCAGACGATCACAGCTCTTAAAAGGGCTATTATCCATGCTTTTCTCATGCTGAGTAAACTGCTAGCAGTAACAGATAACGGATTTTGCGATGACAGTAGCTATTATCTATGGTGACATCTCTGTACTTTATTAGAGCCTGTACGTTTACCTTTTCTTTATTGATTGTTGACTATGTAACAAAGACACCTTCGTTGTTCGAACCTTACAGGTTTCAGGATTTCAGTATTCTCCCAGCCCACAGAGGCAAAGTGAGTGCCACATATCATCTTACTCTGACATAGCATTCAGTTTTCGTCTTTTTAATGCAGTAAAAATGTACTTATGGAGGTATGCTCTTTGTTTCTGTGATTTTAGATGGTTCAGCTTCAGAGAGGGCTAACAATGGGTTTGAGTCAACAATGGATGCAAAGCGTAGGGCCAGCCCTGTACCAGCACATCATAATTCCAAGCAGATGAACAACAACCATAATTCTACTACTAGTACATCATCTGCTCCAGCTGTAAGGATTTAACCAGATTTTTCTCCTTAATTCCTAGGTCCCCGTTTCTTTCAAGCCGACAGTTGAGCACTGCATTTTGTTTAAAGTAGTAGTGGCCATACCAGTATGGATTATGGACCCCAATGAAGCATCTTTTGACAACTTTGCCTCGCATGTCACTACTCATTGTGCAATATTGCTACTCGAAAAAACAAAAGATTGTGTTCCACTTTCAGTGAACAAAACAGTTGAGTTGTCAGTTCCTTAGTAAATTGTTTTTTTTGTCGAAAGGAGTCTGGCTATTTTGTTGGATTGATTCAAGTCCGAGAATAACTTTCAGTGTTCCATGCAGAAAGTGACAAGGAGCAAAGGCAGAGTCTTTTGGACCTTGACAAGCTTGACTCTGCTAGGAAGAGGCTCCAGGAGAATTATCAAGAAGCACAAAATGGTAAATTACTGAGTTTATACCTCATCTTAATTACAGACAGACAACATGATGATATGAAGGAAAATATTCTCTCTGTCTGTTCCTTGTCTTAAGCGTTGCTTATTGTTCTGGTCATGGTGCTTTCTTTTAGCAAGTGATTGAAATGATAAGATGTCATCTGAAATCAATTTGTAAAAGAGGGTCTGATGACACAAATTTGTTATCCTTTCTCTCTTTTCACTCTCTCGATTGCTTTTTTTTGACAGCCAAAAAGCAGAGGACAATCCAAGTGATGGACATCAATGACATACCGAAGCCGAAGACCAGAAACGCCTTCATCCGCAAGAGCAGCAGCGGTGGGCTCGGCGAGGCACTGATAACCTAGCCTTCGTCGGCTGCACATTTGCGCCACTTGCAAACTTGTTCCCTAGAACCGCAACGGGAAAGAAAAGAAGCAACGGTTTCTTGTTCTTTTTCCTGTGTCTTGATTGCCTAGGCTTACCTCCAGCGTAATATTGTCAGGTACATAAGAGTGGACTCATATGATGTTTCTCAAGTAAAAAGAAAGAAATTAGGCACTGTTTTTTTTGCTATACTCTGGTTGCTGATACTGCTGTTGGTCAGTGGTGGATATATATGCATGTCATGCGTGCAGGCTTGATGCATCCCAGGTCAGCAGATTCAGCACATGGGAGTGGCAACCTTTAGTATCATGTCCTATATTCCTGTTGCTCTTTGACGGTTTTGCCCTCTGCACCAAAAGTTCACTTGTACCCTTTGGGTAAGTAGAATTCGCGATCAGTATGCAACAAAGCAAACACAGCCTGAATGCCTGATCGGATGTCATTTTTGCTGCTGTGGCTGTGGTGCTGTGCGGTGCCCTTGGGCTCCCTGCCGTAGCGCCTTGGCTTCTCTGCAACAGGTTTGTCACCATTCTTGGGATAAATGCTGGCGACAAGCGCGGCAAGGCGAGGGTCTGTGGAGCCAGGCATCACCAACAATAAGCTAACATTAGCTCTAAGCTGGCAATGTGAAAGAGAGACAATATAGTAATTATATTAGCTAACATTAGTTCTAAGCTGGCAAGTGGCTAGCAAGTGTGAAAGTGAGGTGTAGTAATTATATTTATATCATATCGTGAGAGGGAGGGCCATCGTGTAACATGTGAGACTATCTTTTGACTTTACGCTAAATTCTTGTCTTTTGTATTATTAAATAAAATATTGATTTAGCTGACTCTAAGCTAGATCATTGGGGACGTTCTCAAGAAAAACGATGAGTGGGAAAAGAAAGAACAGAAGGTTTAAACATAGTAGATATTAGTTCATTGGGTAATGCTGGGTATAGGGCGTCCGTCCAGATGGTGCCGATGGTGGGCTGCGACGTAGCCCAACAACCGCCCCATCCGTTCTAAAAAAACTTACCTTACCGCAGCGCAACGACCGCTCTCCGTGACCGCGCTCCACTACATCGCCTCAGCGACGACGATCTCCGCCGCTCTTCCCTCTCCACCGTGCCTTCCTCTCCTCCACCGCGTCTCCCGCTCGCCCCGGGCTTCCCCAGCACATGGACCCGCCGCGGCCTTCTCCACGGGAGCTGTCGCGACCTTCTCCACCGGAGCAGCGAGCTCTACACCGGTGAACTTCACGCGTCAACGAGCCTCCATTCCCAAGCAGCAAGGAGATGTTGCCCTGAAAGCACATGTGGCAAAATGTATATTTCAAGTGTTTCAGATGTTTCAGAGGTATATTGCAAGTGTTTCATATGGATGTTGCAAAAGTAGATCAGGATGTTGCATATGCTGCAAGTGTTTCAGAGGCATGTTGCAAGCGTTTGTTCAAAATGTTTCATCTGTTTCAGACATATGTTACAAGCATTTTGATCTAGATGTTGCATATGTTTCACACATATGCTGCAATAGTATATTCTAAATGTTTCAACTGTTTTATTCTTATGTTGCAGTAAGTATTTTCATGTTGCAATTGTTTTATCTTGATGTTGCATATGTTTCACATATACGTTGCAAGTGTTTTATTTGGATGTTGCATATGTTTCACACATATGTTGCAAGTGTATGTTCCAAATATTTTATCTGTTTCAGACTTATGTTGCATTCAAGTGTTTCATGTTGCAAGTGTTTCATGCTTCGGAGGTATGTTCAAAGAGTCATGGGAGCACGGCTCATGTTGCTGGGGAAGGGCGCATGCGAGCTAGAGGCGACACAGATGGGGTGCTGGCGCGCTGAGGTCCCTCTGGGGGACGGGTGTGCTCGTCATCCGTGCTCTCTCGGTCCCACCCATGACGGAGAGATGAGGGATTAGGGAAGGAGTGGCGGAAGTGAGGGGTGCAGCGTCCGAAGCGGGTATGCGTCTTGGGCGGGTGAGGCAGACGGGGGATGGATGTGTGCGCTGTTGTGATCTGTGTGTGTAGAGGCATAAATGGCATGAGTTGGGGTAGCAACATCATGGGACATCCGAACGTTCGGGCGCCAGCAGGTCCCTTAGTTCGTTTCCTCATCGATGACCCCAGCCATTCATACATACATTACTAATATAGGAGTATAGGACTTACTGACTTTATCCCTATTTATCTGTCGTTCTCACTTCCCGATATGTCAAACTTAGCCAACTTTGACTAAATATATACAATAAACTTATTTGGAGATACAAATGTTGCTATTATTTTCTATAAACTTAATCAAACTTGAAAAAGTTTGACCAGCACGCTTCCCATAGCAGCAGATAGGAGTAGGTTCCTAGTGGACCTATTATAATAAACAAGGCTCACGGCCCAAACTCACCCATGACTCACTCCTAATCCTATCAAAGCAAGGCTAATAATACAGCCGGTCTGCTAGCTATAAGGTTCTTTACAGTATTCTCTCAGCCCACACATATAGTAGTTGGCATACTTGTCTCTCTCACAAAGTTTCTTGATTCTTGTGCCTAAGCCGGCTGTAAGCTTACAGCTCGCTTTTCCTCTCTCCCTTCCACTCAGCATTTAGCCAGCTTACAACATGTTATTATACTCGCTCTTACAATGCCTAGGTCATGACACAGCTGCAGGTACAATACCGTGTAGCACATTTGATGGTAAAAGTCAATGACACAATTTGATGTTAAAAGTCTCTTTTGATGGTGGGGCGGATTTGCTTGAGCCCTCCTGGCTCGGCCAAGTCCATGGAGCCTCCTAAATGTTCTAGCCATCCTTATGAAATAAAATGTTCTAGCCATGGATGCGCTATCTAAAATCCTGAAACTCAGGCTAAGTCCACTAAGGTCTTGTTTGGATGTTGCCGGATTCAACTCAATCCACGTGAAACAAGGCCTAAATGTTATAGCCATCCTTATAATTTCTTTGTCTAGCCATGGAATGCACTATTTAAGAGCCTGAAACTTGTCTAGAGGTTTACAAAATATTTTTGGAAAAGCAATTGTAAATCACGAATTTTAGATTTTTTTTAGAAACAATCGCGAATTCTAGATTAAGGAAAAGTATGGGGCTAATTGCCGGAACTGACGAAGTGGCCCAATAAGCCAAAAAAGGCCCACTTATGGGAACTGAAGCTGGGCGCTTCTATTCGGCGACTGGGCCTTTCTCGGTTTGTACTGTCCTGACTCCCGTCCGCCACTCCGGCCTCCCAGCCGTAGCAGCCATGACGATCTTACCCCAACAACCACCCGAGCCACGGCCCACGGCTTAAACTTGTGAGTGGTTTTTCTATTTACCTTTGACTGTATACTAAATAGCGCATAACAGGCGGGTAGCAGATTAACCTCGAGGTAGGGGGCCATGGATATGATGACGGATGCTATTGTCAACGCTAAGTTCTAATAATCAAAGTTAACAAAGAAATAGATTATAAGAGCAATAAAAAATAGATAGTTCATAAACCATCATTCATTATTATTGTCAGGAAGCAATAGTCGATCTCTACATGCATGCCTTTTGTGGGAGTCAAAGGGCTACCGTTGTTTGTTGTATGCTGTGCCAAGCTACTATTACGACTGCTACGAAGAATTGCGGGATGCTATAGCGGCCAGTTACCTTAATTAAATAGAGGATGCTAAGTTTCATATTGCTAAATCTAGTTTGCCACATCATAGTGGGTGTCGTAAGAGATCGCTACCTTTATTGTTGCCACTGTAACTGATATTTAGATTTATATTATGGACTGTGCTTTGTTTTCTTTGTTTCATTAATTGTCTTTTTAATTAAAGAATACACAATATTTCGGTCTCCAGCATTCACAAGTGAATGAGTATAGCGGTTCAACAAACACACAGACATAGCACTTAGGCCACTCCTCACCATACAATGCTACAAAAGTTTATTTAGAGAAACTACTCAATGAAAAGCCTCAAGCATATATTCGATTTCTATTTCTCCATCCAAACTTGTTGAAACAAAATCCAACACCATGGTCTCCAACAAATAGCATCCTTCCTTCAGTCGAGTTCTCTCTTCCTCTTTAATTAGACAGTTGAGACCATTGCTTGATCCAGTACGTCCCTCTAAAATTGACCTGTAAGATTGACAGAGGAGTGGTCCTTTTGAAACAAATTACCCAATATAGAGCTGCAACCCCTAATATTAAAATGTGATTTCTAAGCTTAGAAGACAAACTCATAAGCCAAGAACCAAACAAAATGAGTTACCCTAGTAGGTGGTTGAATATTGAAGACAATAAAAACTGAATTCCAAATGGACCTTGCAATGTGACAATAAAAAAATAAAAAAATAGATGTTGAATAGTTTCCTTAGAGGTATACAAAAGTAACCATTAGGGTAACCATCCATCGTCTCTTCACCAAATTGTCCTTAGTTAAAATCACCACCTCTCCAAAATACAAAAGAAAAAATTAATCTTCAAAAAGGTAACTTAGTCCTCCAAAAGATGTTTCCCCCCGGTAGATTTTCTCTTTTCATAACATCTTTGTAAAATGATTGAATTGAAAAGTAACCATTCTTATTCAAATTCCAAACAAATACATCTTCATTTTCATTCAAAGAAACGAACACTAGCCAGGCCACCAATTTATCTCCTGCTAAAGCACGTCTAAACAAAATATTCAAAGGGGACGGTATTTAGTACCATTTTTCATTGTCTATAATATAATAATAAAAATAGCGGAAATGTTAAACTCTTGCCGTCCTTGAAAAAATATTCCACCCACTTTATCTATGGGCATTGTCGTAATTGCACCTCATCATGGAGAGGGAGGCCAAGAATGAGTCGTGGCCCACAATGGTCCTGATGAAGTAGTTCGCTCTTGGCTTCCAGAGCTGGAGCTCTGTACGTGAGGCGTGTGAAGAAGCAGCAGCAGCAGCGAGCAAGCAGCCATGTCCGGAGGGTTTGAGAATCCGTCCCTACAGGTAAATAAT